CCTTCCACTTCCATGACRTTTGACTGCTGAACCATGCTTTGTTTTGGGGTATTAACAGGTATTGTTACAAATTCACCGCCAGAATAAACAATTCAATGGTTTCTCTTAGCATTTCTGCCTCCCAAGAGTTTTCTGAAAGTTTTTAACTAAAACATTTTGGTAATGTTTCTTGTTTTTCATTAATATCTTCATTGTTGGAAGGTAAAAACACAAAAAACAAACAATGAAGTGAGTCTAATGACAAACAGACACTGTTTTCTTTCTGAACCAAACGGCAAGGGTACAATGGAGGGGGGTGGGGGGGTGTTAACAGAGATGAAGCCTCTGTAAATAAAACTCTCTTTATTTTTTTTGAGAAATGGGATGGAGCCGTGGTGAAAGGGAAAACCCCTCAGCTGTTGATACAAAGGTTGACCTGCAGCGTCTGATTCTGACTAAATATTTCCTCAAAGCTAACACCAGTCCCTCTTGTTTACACACATAATTGATAGCAGTTGTTTACAGAAATGCTGTCACAGAATGTGTGAGATAAGTTGTGTTTTTCTGTGAGTAAACCGTTTGGTTTTCATCCTTGTCATTTGAAGCCATTTTCCTCCCTCAGACTGGCACAGATGTTAATGTTTAAATAATGGGACTGATTTAAAGTGTATTCATAAAATTCACAACATCCCGCTACTTATATTACTTCATCCAGCCTTCTTTAATGTGCATCTCCCCTTGTTCTTGACCTAAAAACTTTGCAAACGCGACATCAAAACGAGCCGTTTTTCAATGTTTCTGAAATTTGACCATCAAGGGACGGTTCGACAAATCGCTTTCAAGACTCCAAACCTCATGGTATCCATCATGTGCCATTCAGTCAGTATCGATGTGAAAAACTACATCAAAGACGAGGGCATCCTTGGATGGGGCCTAAAATAAGATCGGTTACACTGGTCCTCTCAAAACCCCAAAATCAGAACAGCGGCTGCCAGCAACTACTTTAAACCAAAACGGCAATTTACACATTACTTTCACAGTTGGGAAAGCATCCCTGTCGAGCATCCAGACTCAAACTGTGGTGATATTTGATAGCGTTATGTGTCACATTTGATAGTGGTTTTGATCGAAGATGTGCCTGAATCCTTTCTTTGCCTGTTRTTGGTTACAGAGGGCTGACAAATGATTTGCCATGTTATTTCCTCTCCTCCTGTGTTCTTCGTGGTGGCAAGATAATAAAAGTCTGACACATTCAAACTGAGCACGCTCCATGAGTCTTGCATTAAATCATCATCAGTGTCAGAAAAGCCTCTGCTCTTCTATTAAAAAAAAAAGACAAAATCTGAAAATCTTCTGTTTTACCAACAAAGAAATCTGAAATAAAACAAATATTTTGTTTAAAAACAAAACAATATCAATAAGCTTAAGCGTTAACCACAGACACAGCTCTAAAGAGGAACAGCAGTGAGTTGTGATTATTAGGACCACGTTATCAGCTGTCACTGCGTGACATGAATGCTCACTGTGAAATTGCCCGTCTAGACTTGACGTCATATCACTATCCACACACACACACACACACACACACACACACACACACACACACACACACACACACACACACACA